CGTGGACTCCAGGTGAGTGCATCTTTCCCTTTTTATCGTACATATTATTGAGAGTTCTATCGACACCTTTAAATTGATTAGGCATATTACTTTCATATATAATTATTGTGAATGCTTGAAGTACTATGTGAACTACGAATGGTTTGATCCCTGTTTAGGGTACGTAGGCAGTCTAACGAGACGTTAAATGCAGCCATAAAATATTTGAGACAAAAGCCTTGCTTGGGAAATTGAGTAATGCGAAGGAAATTGGTTAAGGAAAGTTTTAGTTTTATGAATTAGTTAGTTAAATTAGTGTTAATTGGGTTGTCATGAATAATTATCCTTGAAAATAAGTAGTTTGGGAGTAGGGCGTTATTGATTGTACACTTCACACTATATTGTTTATAATTGAAAATGCTACGACATGGTTGAGTAGTAGATTGCATCATGATATATCCATATGTATATTACTTGCATATAATTACTGGGAATGCTTTCAAGTGCAAAGGTGAACTCAGGACATCCAGGTAAGTTCAGGTGAGTTTATGGTACTAGTTGAATCGATTGCGTTATAGCATGACTATAGTTATGAGTTAGGCAACTTCGATATGGTCGTACTGGTTGCCATGAGTTGCACATGTTATATTGAGATGCATTGAGAGCTCATAAACCTGCACCTTGGTGTTAGTGTTCCCGCCCGTGGCCAGGACACAGTCCTTCACGTGATGTTCACCTCCCACACCTTACGCTCACCTTGGATTCAAGGTAGGTGCACAGTCCTATCGTACAGACCACTTTAGGTGGTTCCGACTCGTAGGTGACCTGCGATTATTCGCCCAGTCTTCACGTGATCGTAGCACTTGAGCGTATTTATTTACACCCAGTCCTGTCGTACATACCACTTTAGGTGGTTCCGACTCATGTGCAAGTATACTTATTGAGCTATTGGCTAGCCAGGATTGATGAGATATGGATAAGTCGTACAGGTCACTATAGGTGACTCCGACTTATATGCTAGCCAGGATTGATAAGATATGGATAAGTCGTACAGGTCACTATAAGTGACTTCGACTTATATGCTAGCCAGGATTGACGAGATATGGATAAGTCGTACAGGTCACTATAGGTGACTCCGACTTATATGCTAGCCAGGATTGATGAGATACGGATAAGTTGTACATGTCATTTTAGCTGACTATGACTAATATATCACTTTGTATTGATTTAGTTCATTTGGCCTACTTATTAATGTATGGTGGATGTGATGGCAAACCGTGGTTTTGGTCATTTCCGAGTATGGTTTGGATATATGTATATATGTTGTATTGTCTTATGGAAAACGATACGGGTTTTACATTTAGGGGCATTACTTTTTGAGAGGTAGTAACTTTGGGAAGATTGGTTTTATTGCTTACTCACACCTTCTGTTTGGTGCCCTCCAGGTTTTAGCTGCTGAGTTTGTATCGACAAGAATCTATGGCGAATCTTAGTATTGATGGATATTTTTGAGGGTATGATTCTTACCCACATTACTGCACCTTACTTATGCTCTGACATCGCGTGTGAAATGGATTCGCTCCCACTCGTAGCGCACTCTGGTATTTAGACACTTTTAGATTCAAATTTATTCACTTTTTATGCACTATCACATTTTATGGCTTCGTCACCTTCCAGGTGTCGGCCAGCACAGCTCGATTCAGGATCCAAATGGACTTTCTGGGTCGGGGTGTGTCACCACCAGTACACGGGCATTGGGGGCATATATATTTTCGTGTTCAAATTTTGCTACCACAAGTATATATTGGACCAAAAGTTTCCCATATTTCATGCATAGTTGATGTTGGGAAATTACCATATTTGATATTAAAAATTTGCTACAACTCCATTATTTCAAGGTTGCTTGACATTCAAATCTTAGTAGATTGCGTTGAAGTTATGCAAGCATAGAGAAGATCCTATTATATGGCATGCACGTAGCATGAGATTAAATTATTTTCATCTACTTTTTTTTATTTGTTGCTTTATCAATTATAATCAATCTGATATATAATTGAAATAAGATGTTATATGATTATTTATTATTTTCTACTACGTATTTAATTATCTCTACTAATTAATAAAACACTTATTGTCAATCAAAATTCTATGAAATTACCAGTTTAACCTTCTAATTAATAAGAAATATGGGGCAGAAATGTAATTTCACATAACCAAATTTTGCTGTTTTTTTTTTTTTTTGTTCAAAACTTCATCTACATATAATCCTAACATATCTCTAATTAATTAAAAAAATAAATAAATTTCCACTCCCACATTCTCTATCACTCTCTTCCTCTCTCCTTCTATTTCAAAAACAAAAATAAAAAATATTCTTACACACTATGTGTGTGCCATATGCTAGTTTAAATTAAAATCATTTCAATAATATATCGGTAACCCAAGTTGCACTGTTGTGGTGTACCTGTTTTTGTTTTTGTTTTTATTTTTATTTAATTTGTTGAAGAGGGGCAAGAAAGATAAAGTGTGCATGTTACTATGATTAGTTGTTTATTTTGACTCCTATTGCCGTGGCGCCTTTTTTTTAAGCATTGTGTTAACTCTTATGATAACCATGAAAATGTTATAGAAACATTGGTGAATTTATGGTTTTTTTTTTTTTTAAATGGACAATTAGTTGGGTCTGAAGAGGTTATAGGAAATTTCACCCTATATGTGGACACAATCAAACAGACTCACTAGCTCGAAGTATCAAATTCGAAACCTTCCATATTTTTTTTTGTTTATTGGGGAGCCGCAGTCTGCGTCCTTACTACTGGTCCACTTGTGGTGGTTGTGAATTTCATGATTTATAGTTAGTAAAGTGGTTCTATGTTCTTAAAATAATCGTGGAAGTTTGAATGTTTGCTTAAAATAATAAGTTTGAAATATTTGCCTCAAGAATAAGTTTGAATAAACTAATGTTTATCAGTTTTAATTAACACTCTAGAAATGTAAACATACGCTTCTTCTTTGTTTGTATTTAGATATGCAAAAATAAATTTGGTGTTGTCACTATTTGATCGAATTAGTATCTTACTTCGGTTAATAACGACATTATCAACATCTTTTAGAGTTTAGGTGACAGGTTATGAATTTAAAGCTTGAAAATCGAAACCGTTCATACTTTGTATTTTTTTTCATTCGATATCACATATTCATTGCTGAAAACTCCATAGCTAAAGCTACTAAACAGTAAACAACTTTATAAGGCAATTATACACCATATAACAATTAGAAAGTCATAATCAAATTTTTTATAACAAAAATACACAAAACTTGGTTACCAAACTATCGAGAAGAAAAAAAATTCCACAAAATCTTAACTGACAGATCGATCAATTTATGCAACTAATCCAACAAAATTTTGACCAAAAGATGTATATACAGTAGTAACAGCCAGTAGCGGAGCCAAGGTGGGGACAATGGGATTCCTTGACCCCTATAACCTTGTACAGAACAAGTACTTGAAAGAGAGAACTGAAGAAGATCAAAGGGCGAAAAAAATGGCGCAAGTACAACCACCTGGGGAAAAAACCCAAGAGGTCCCAGAAATGGAGGTGAAAGAAAACCCAAGAAGTCCATCGTTCAAATTCAATGCACAAGCACCTGAATTTGTGCCAAGATCACATGCCCAGATGCCAATTTCTGGTTATTTCTACCCCTGCTTTCACGTTCTTGGTGACACTGCTTCCCCTGATTGGTTTTACATTTAGGACCAAGAATTGCATCCTTACTTGATCTCCAATAATCCCAATATCAATCCGCTTTCCAATCGGTCCAAGAATTTGATCCCGGACGATCTTCAGCAGAAGATCATCAAGCAGGTGATGTGTCTTTGATTGTTAATTCTTTTTATTCCTTTTGTTTTGTTGATCAAGGAAATATCATTTGTCGACTATGAATCTAGACTATTGACTAGGTTGATTTTTGTGTGAATATGTACCGAGTTCAATATGCCAAAAGAATGTTACCTATGTGTTAAATTTGTGAAATTATGTACGTATATCTGTTTTTATTTTTTTAAGGAATCAGATAAAATATATGTCTGGATTTTTGGATTATGTCGGGCAAACTGGGATCATCCTTTTGGATATAGGATTTTCGTTGTGGATCCTATCCAATTTAATATAAGAAGCCATTGAAAGCGTTCGTCCAATGCTGTCGATGTCCCATAACGAAATATGTATCGAAATGTCTAAACAGTTGGAGATCCTCTAGAAATTTTGAGCCATCATTTCACTCTTTCAAATTTGCAATGCATGAGATGTTAAATTCTTCTAACATATGGATTTGTTGTTATCCTTATTGATGCCCATAATCATTAAACAATTAGGACTGGACCATGGCAGCACCTAGTCATTTTTTCGCCCTTTGATCTTCCCTTTCGGCCACTCTTTTCTTTGTTTCAGGGGGCTTCATTTGTATCCAATGCTCATTATTTTATTTCGGCTTAATTCACATAAATAATACCCAAAAAAAGTGTGATCTATTACTCAAAGAAGGTGACATTCTTGGTGTGGCCAGAAGGATACTACATGTTGTAAATCTTGCACTATCAAAGACGAGGGTGCTTTTCTCAGGAGAGCCATCCATGACCCTCAAGGTAATGACAAACAAAACATCAAGGCAATGTTTGAATTCGGAATTGCTTGCTTTGTGTCATTAGTAATGTAAGCTCAACTTTTAACCCCCTTATCTTAAATTCCTGGTTCCGTCATTGGTAACAACATCAAGAAATTAATTTGAAGAGTAATGTTATTCATACCATGTTTTGATACCACATTTTCATACCAACATTTGATGTGGATAGTCACATCATCTGAATTAATCAGATTTTTAAATTTAATTTATTATTTAATAAATTAATAATTAAAAAAAATAATTAATTAAGTGATGATTGTGATATACGAATAGTCTTTCTCTTCTCTTTCCTTGAGGGAAAAAAAAAAAAAAAAAAAATTCTTGTGTTCGGCGATTAATAATTCGAACACAAGTTATACCTATTTACAAAGCCACCCACCCAAAATTCAATTACAAAAAAGGAACAAAAAGAATTTATAATACAAAAAAGTATCACTCAATTTCCTCTGTACAATCTATCACGCCAAACTTCCAAAACTACCCCTCTCCTCCAATATCCTCAGTCAACTTTCACAAACTCCTCGTCGTCATCCTCATCCTCCTCATCTATAATCTCGCCATAACGATTCGTACGATCACAAACGCCACCAAACACGTCCCTAACGGTCTTCAAAACGACGTCGCCAACCCACGCGAGGCACCCCAACTCACAGTGGCACTTCTCCCCGAGCATCCGGAGTAATCCTTTATCACCGACCTCCGGCGGCGTGGACATCGGCTGGAGATACGCCAGTGCGGCGTGCTTGACGAGTGGGTTCTTGATCGGAATCTCGTCGTGCCAGCTGGAATTGTGGATAGGCGACATGACTGACAGCGGCGGCGATGCCGGGAGGAGGTCCTTGAGGCTGGTGTAGGAGACGGTCTGGATCGTGACCATCTCGATGTCGGAGATCTCGATCTCGTCGCCGAAGCCGTTGTGGAGGAGAAACGTCGGGGAATGGGAATTGAGGGTAGGGTTTTTAACGGCGGAGGTCTCCATGGAATGTTTTCCGTCGCCGATTCCGATTAGAGAAGGACTGGGAGACTGATTCGGGAGGGTTTTTGTGTTGCGTTTGGAGTTTTTGTGAAGCGGGAGAAGGGATGGCACACGCGCTGTACGCGCATATGGGGGCGCTGGATCGATGTGGGTATAGCACGTGTCTAGTTACTATTGGATTTAGTCAATGAAGCCTTTTTGTTTTTCTGATTTGTCGTTTTTGGGTGAATATTCAATTAGCTTATTGGTATGGATAACTAATTTGTATGACTATATATTTTCTTTTGAATTCTTTAATTTATATAATTTTTGAAGAAATAAATTTATATTTTTGGGTCAACAACTCTTGCTCCAGAGTCTATACATTGATTGCCAGTTGCCACCATTTTTATTTTCAAGTAAGAGAAAATTATGTCTTAGTACCAAATTTATATTTAATATGAATATTTACTAGCCATTGAATTGATACGTTTATCCTTTCTTCTTAACTTTTTGGGAGGAGAGGTGACAAAAAGCTGGGCTTCAATTTATGTTTGGTTAGGCTTTACAATTTCTTACGCAACACGTAACATGATATCTAATCGGGTCGTTATCTGATCACATGATAAAAACCCGTTAATAACGAGTTCTTAATAGGTTTACATGAAAGTGACACGCGTGTAACATATTTCGACACGTTAAGAAAAAAGTTATTTTGATGATTTTAATTTTTTAAACTACTAAAAAAGCTTATTATAAAATACAATAGTCATAGTGTATATGTATATGTTGTATATTAAATATGTATTATTGTATTATTATTCTATATAATTTTAAACATTTGATTTTTATTTATTTATTTATTTTTATAGTATATTATAGGAGAAGAGTGAGATTAAAAAAAACTATAAAACACATTAAAATTTAAAGTATCAAGTAATTTAAAAATACCAAACATATTAAAAAATCATAATAATTAATTACAAGTGCGAAAAATGCAAAAAAATATGCAAAGGTTCGTGTCACATCCCGGGCCCGCTTCCACTGCCGTAGCACGATATTGTCCGCTTTGGGCTTACCATTCCCTCACGGTTTTGTTTTTGGGAACTCACGAGCAACTTCCCAGAAGGTCACCCATCCTGGGAGTGCTCTAGCCCTCTTCTCGCTTAACTTCAGAGTTCCTACAGAACCCGAAGCCAGTGAGCTCCCAAAAGGCCTCGTGCTAGGTAGGATGGGAATATACATTTAAGGATCAGTCCCCTGGGCGATGTGGGATGTTACAATCCACCCCCCTTAGGGGCCCGACGTCCTCGTCGGCACATTTCCGGCCAGGGATAGGCTCTGATACCAATGTCACATCTCGGCCCGGGGCAGATCACTTCCCGGGCCCGCTTCCACTACCGTAGCACGATATTGTCCGCTTTGGGCTTACCATTCCCTCACGGTTTTGTTTTTGGGAACTCACGAGCAACTTCCCAGAGGGTCACCCATCCTGGGAGTGCTCTAGCCCTCTTCTTGCTTAACTTCGGAGTTCCTACGGAACCCGAAGCCAGTGAGCTCCCAAAAGGCCTCGTGCTAGGAAGGATGGGAATATACATTTAAGGATCAGTCCCCTGGGCGATGTGGGATGTTACAGTTCGTGATCGCATCCTCTATGCTTTGAGTATGAGTATATCATCGTTTGAATTTTTAAAATCATACAGACCCTCATGAATAGTATTTTTAAGGGAGTTCAAAATAAATAAAATTCATAATCATTAATGTACAAGGCTAAAAAATGTGAAGGCACATCGAAATTTACAAGGTTCCTCAACCTTGAAACGCAACTCCCTTCATTTTGCATATCCTTGAACATTTGGTATTTTATAGTAATGTACTAATGTTTTTTCATTAGGGTCTTATTTTGTAGTAAGTAATACTTGAAAGACAAATGTTTTTTTTTTTTTAATATTTTGAAGTAATATTTATGTGACAAATGTGCATATACTGATTTAGTATTATGTTTTCTATTTTTTTGGGTCTAATTATTTTTTTCATTTTCATTATTTATTTAAAATATGTTTTCTTTAATGGGTAACGATCCGAGTCATATTACCTGATAATATTAATGAGTCGATTTTGGATTGGGTCATATTACCCATTTACTTTAATGGGTGTTACACAACATGAACTATTAAGATATAAGATATGACACAAAAACGACACAAAGACAAAAAACACGACATGAATGCCAAACAAAGCAAGGTAGAAAAGTGGAAGAAGCTCCGAGCTGCTTTCAAAAGCTAGCCTTTCTGTTTACCAAAACATAGGCGAACAGTAGTTATTCAATGAAATTTTAATATGATCCTACCTTCTTTCTCCATCACCCTCTTTTTGTGCATCAAACATTTTCCCTCGTCTCCTAGGCTTCCTACTCCATCTCTTCCTTCCTCGTCTCCCACTCGAGAAATCAAAAGATGCCAATGTCAATCAAAATTGAAGGAGAATACAAACAGGGAATCTTATCGACCTCGAAATGGACGCTATCTCTAGCACCGCAGTTTTTGGCTTGATCATCTCTAGCATATTTTGGTGCGAGAATTTACCAAACCAGGCACTCTCTCAAAACACTCGCATTGTCTATGGCTTTGAACTCGACGCCGCCACAGCACGCCGTCTTTGGATTTTTTTTTTTTTTTTTTTTTTGGATCTTTAGTGAGGGTAAACCATGGGTTGCTGGGAGAGAAGCATGGCAGAGGAACGAAGAAAAAAGAAAAATGAGGCAACGAAGAAAAATGGGAGAAAAGCAGGGCAGAGGAAACAAAGAAAAAAATAAAAATTTAAGATAAATGTGGAAGCATGATTTTGCAAGACCAGAGTAAGATAGATTGGAATACTTATACCTCAAAAGTTCGATCATGAACTCAATAGCTCTTATCAAATTGAGCTACTCAATTAGACCAACGGTGCCACCACATTCTGGTGTGTTCCAAAAAGGTGAAGTCCGCTAACTTCGCTAAGATTGATCATTCTTGTTCCACAACTCACGGAAATTTGCTCTGATTGGGGATCAAACTAATTTCCTATATTTTTGGAGATTCCTACAATTTAGGGATTGACGTGGATTTCATATCCTAAAGGGTCTTTCTCAACTAGTATAAATACACTCATCTAGGGTTCATTTATAGTAACCCCGCATACTTTTCTTATTCTCTTGCTCACTACTTGAATCTAATATTGCTGACTAACTTGACCGTCAAAGAACCGTTGGCCTATACCACACTGGTACCCAAGGTTAATCATGATTGTTTTCACTTTTACATGTAATTGGATTTGTGTGGCGAACATTGATTGAACTTATATCCCCCAGCCAAATCACTCTACCACATCATGTCTATAGAGGATAGTTTTGTAAACGCCTACGTCACTATCTCGGGTCCCCAAATACCTTGATCACTTCTGCCAACAACCCCACTCTGGCTAGCAGGGCTTTTCCCACCATGGACCAGATATGAGAAACCCTAATGAAAATCAATGCTTCTATTAGCATCTTCAAAAGCACTGTTCTAAAAATCCTTGTCTACCGCCGCCTAGGCCCAACTTAACCGCTAGGTAGTTGACCACGATCCCGATTAGTCCCTAAGTGTTTGAAAAATAAAAAAGTGCGCCTAGACCTACCTAGCTTGTCTAGATCTTTCTAGGCACCCGCTTAGTTCACAAATCTTACTTAGACAAGAAATAGATAACTTTCATTTTACGTTATGTTCTAATACTTTATAATCTGTCATTTTATTTTTTTCATTTATGTATTTCAATGCAATTATGTGTTTTTAAATATAAGCAGACACTTATTTATAAGATATAATAAATCTACTTAAATCCGCCTAAGCGCTAGGCCCCAACCCACCACTCGACTAACGCCTAACATCTTTTATAACCTTGTTCAAAAGACTGTAAAGGCTTTGCAAGTTGAGAATTGCTCAAACTTTGTAGATATTGAAAGGCGCATGAAAGCCTTGGAGAATGCTTGCAAAACTACTTCACAAACCCAAGTCCCTATCATCGGATTTGGAAACCTAAACACCATCACTTTTGATGGACATCCCGCCATGGTAACACCCATTTCAACCCAGTAGATATCGGAGAAGAATGTTCTCCCCTCTTAATCTTTCTCCCTTTCATTCCCCTCCTACTTGTACAATTACAATTAAACCATGTCAACATCTTATAATGAATTTTTTTTTTTTAAGGACAAAAAGCAAAGTGTATGAGGAAGGGAGGAAAGGAGATGAAAATAGGAAGGGAGAGGATCCTACTCCCTGTCGATCAACTCCGGATGACACATCTCGATGTTCTTCACTTCATTATCACAGGTCAAATTGAGGTTGATACTGCCTTCATTTTATTAAGTTTGTTATTCTTTATTAGGCATTTCACAATAGTTTAAATGAATGCAATACCTATATATAAGATTTGGGTAACTTGAGGTTGATACCTATATCATTACTGTTATACTAGTGTGAGTTTAATATATTGATATTACATTCAAGAGTTTAATATATCACACTCATGAGTTTAATATATTGATCTCATGAGTTCAATATATTGGTATTACACTCAAAAATTTTGGTTCACTGTATAAGTGTGATTCTTATGAGTTCACTATATTGGTATCACACTCACTTTGTCCGGCCTACTGTGGAAGGCCCTAGGGATGAGAAAATAATAGTGTATAGAGATCATAGTATGATGGAAAATTCAATGTTAGTTCTGGTGTAGGGTCTTTTGAGAGAGTGGGTGAATAAATTGGTATCGACCTCGTCATTTAGGAATTCAAACTTAAGACATCTTATTCATAAACGAAAAAACGACATTAAATCGTAGTACTAAATGACAATATCTTAACATTATTAACAAATTTTTATTCACTATTAACAAGTGGTTGGTTATTGACTCTAGATCATTACAAGACTCGTACATACCAATGTCCAAAATCAACCAAGTTAACAACCCGATGTTTAGTAAAAAAATGATGTTATCACACACTTATTTTATCTCACACGTACCTTCTTTTTAATTTTTGTTCTTTAATCTCTTTCAATTTATTTAATTGGACAAACAGAAATTGAAAGATCATACGTGTGAAAGATAAAAAAAATATGTGAATATCACCAAGTAAAACTCTCTTTTGCCATGTCTAATCAAACACGATAAAAACATGTTTTTCCCGTATCTGACAGCCCAATAGTCCCTTATGATAAATCAACCCCTTGGGAAGTTCAAAATGCAACACTTCAGAATCCGTGTTTGCTTTCTCTCCAACCGTGTCCAACCTGGCGATGCAGCGCTCTCACTCTGCAGCTGAATCAGACTCCTCGTGGGTGTCCACCGAGTCGGACGCGTGGTGGAGACTCGGATGCTCGCTTCCCTGACATCACTACGCATCCATAAACGCACAGCAATTCCGATTACGTCACTTCTTTTTCTCGCCTCCTTTTCATGGTTAGCTCCTCCTCCTCTGTATTTACTCAACGCCTAATTTTGGCCTTTTTTTCTTCATTCACTGATTTGTTCTAGAGATCTCAGATTGTTGAGTCAGAGAAGAGGTACTTTTCCAGTTGATTGATGCTGTATTAATTTAGAATTTGCCCAATTGGGGTTTGAGAATTTTGGTTTATATGGCTGTTTTGAACTTTTGACAGAACCCACATTGTTATTTGGTTTATTTTTTATCAATTTGATGTGATAGTTTTGCTGGGTGTTTGTGTTTTGAGATTCTTTTGCCTGTTTGCCTGTATTTTGTGGCTGGAAATTCTTTGATTGATGAAATGAGCAGATTCATTTGCGATTTGAGTAGAGAATTTTGTATTTGTGAATGATGGCAAGTTGTCTTTTTTGTGTGCGAGTAGCATTTACTTAAAATAGCTAAGGAGTTCAATTAAATTTATGTTTTTTGATTTGCGAAAGTATCTGTCTTTGATTGAAAGTTTTTGCTTTGGCTAGTAGCTTTAGATATGCTGATAGCTAAGAACAAAGGTAGATTTTGATAATTTGAAATGGTGATTAGCGGAAGGCCGAAGACCTGCAATTTTCGGTTCCTATTTCCACTTTAACTTTCCAATCTAGAAAGCCATGGCTTTTCGTAACGGTATGTTTACTCTGTTATGTGCAGAAACATAGAAACTTACCTATTAGGCAAAGTAATCCTAAAATGTCGGACAACAATGTTGCTGAGTATGTTGGTTTGGGGGAAGGATCCTCGCACGACTTAAATAAGTATCAAAAGGTTTCAATTATACCTCTTGTCTTCTTGATCTTCTACGAGGTTTCGGGAGGTCCATTTGGTGTCGAAGATAGTGTCCAGGCAGCTGGTCCCCTTTTAGCCCTCCTTGGTTTTCTGGTTTTTGCCATCATATGGAGTGTTCCAGAGGCATTGATAACTGCAGAAATGGGTACTATGTTCCCCGAGAATGGGGGATATGTTGTTTGGGTCTCATCAGCTTTGGGTCCGTACTGGGGCTTTCAGCAAGGATGGGTAAAATGGCTCAGTGGGGTGATTGATAACGCTCTATACCCTGTTTTGTTTCTTGACTATCTCAAATCAGCAATTCCGGCTTTAGAGAGCGGTCTCCCAAGGACAATTGCCGTGTTGGTTTTGACAGCAATGCTCACTTACATGAACTACAGGGGTATGACAATAGTGGGTTGGGCTGCTACCTTACTGGGGGTGTTTTCACTTCTTCCCTTCATATTCATGGGATTTATAGCAATCCCCGAACTAAATCCTTCAAATTGGTTTGTGGTAAATCTGGAGACTGTGAATTGGACTATGTACTTGAACACGCTGTTTTGGAATCTTAATTACTGGGATTCAATTAGTACTCTTGCAGGGGAGGTGGAAAACCCTGGTACAACTCTTCCTAAATCTCTCTTTTATGCTCTTATCTTGGTTGTGGTTGGATACATTTTCCCTCTTCTGATTGGTACCGGGGCTGTTCCAGTAGAACGTGAACTATGGTCAGACGGGTATTTCGCAGATATTGCTAAAATGCTTGGAGGTGTATGGTTAAGAACCTGGGTCCTGTCAGCTTCTGCTTTGTCAAACATGGGTATGTTTGTGGCTGAAATGAGCAGCGACTCCTTTCAACTTTTGGGTATGGCAGAACGTGGGATGCTTCCTTCAATCTTTGCCAAAAGATCTCGTTATGGCACTCCACTTACCGGAATCTTATTCTCTGCATCCGGTGTAATCTTGCTTTCCTTTTTGAGCTTCCAAGAGATCGTAGCTGCTGAGAACTACTTGTATTGCTTTGGAATGATTATGGAATTCATCGCGTTTGTGAAGTTGAGGATGAAACACCCGGCTGCATCGCGGCCTTTTAAGATACCGGTTGGTACAGTGGGAGCAATTTTGATCTGCATTCCTCCGACGCTGTTAATCTTTGTAGTTTTAGCTCTTGCTACTCCAAAGGTAATGGTTATTAGCATCGCTGCCATGATCATCGGGCTTCTTCTGCAGCCATGCATCGAGTACACGAAAAACAAGAGGTGGTTTAATTTCTCCACGAAATCTGACCTTCCAGATATCCAAAATGCATATGATCAGTGTAGTATTGTAGCATGATTCCATCAATGATTGTAATCATTTGGTGTTTGAAATTATTGGTTGTTTCTGACTTTGAACTGTGGATGCTTGGTATATTCCCTTTTACTTAATAGTTGAAATGTTGTGATGGATGCAGTATGCATATAAAAATCTTGAGACCCTTATAAAATGTGGTGTAAGGAAATATATACAGGTAGATATTGCTTCTTTTTTTCTTTTTTCTTTTTTTTTTTCTTTTTTCAAAGGATATTTATTGGAGAAAGACTTATCTGCTCAAGATTGAAGATGAATTCTTTAAAATACTTTGTGGTCTATTCACAGTATATCGTGTTTATGATTGGAACCACTCATATTATAAGTCACTTTGTAAAAGACTATCTCTACAAAAAAAATCTATTAAAACCAAGATCCTTAGTCATTGAATTGTATAAAAACACAAGGACGGATTTGATGAAAGTATTACGAACTGTCTATCTATTTGTTACAATCAACTGACCAACGATCTTAGTTTTAATTAATATTTTGCAAAGATATCTTTACATAATGCCTTATAATATGAACAGTTCCGCATAAGCATGAATGTAACTAAGCCGAAAATTACCATGAGGAGTAACTCCTCCTTAAAAAAGATGCACGAAATTCTGTAAAAAGGCCGATAAGTACCGTGAGGAGTAACTCTTCCTCAACAACGATGACTCGCTGATATAAGGGGATAACAAGAGAGTATATTTTGGGTCTTCAAAATTGGGCATAGGTCGTGCAATGTTAGCAGCTTAGAAGAGTTTTTAATTCATAAAAATGCTTTTTAAAAAAGCAACTAATAGATGTTAGTTCATGAAGCACTTTTAAGTACTTTTTCAAAACGTACTAAAAAAAATGCTACAATAAATCACTTTCGTATTAGAATTGTTTTCTAGAGAAGCAATTCTAAACGGCCTTGATGAAAATGATATGGATTAGCCTTGTCGAATGCCCAACCCAATATGCAACCATACACTAAAGGGCTCTAGGTCAAATTACATGCTGCGTTTGGATGGTTCCTAATATTTGGTTCTCCCTCGACATTTCATTGACTATATGTTAACCACTTCACACTTATCTGCTTTGCTTGCCAAACAGTCCCTTGGCAGGTGAGTCTACTTGTATCGTGTTCTACACTGTGGACCCCACACTCAAAAATGTCGAAGACGATAGGTTGGTGAGGCACATGTATACGGAACCAGACTAATATTTATGACATGTTGTCTTGTTGCTTGACATTAACATCCATTCCCTCTCTTGTGAGTTGCCACGAGCTGTTCTCTGCAAACAATAATCATGTCAAAATAATCCACGTGGCACTCACACAAGAACTAAGAATGATCCATGCTTAATTAATCCATAAACAAGCTATTAGTTAGTCCCTGACAACTGTTAATGTTAGTGAGAAACACTTTGACGATTATATTATAAAACCGTCAAAAAATTATTTGAACTTGTGTTTAGTAATCGGATCGTTGTTATAGTGTTTTTAACAGTGAAACGGAGTATTCCGAGGCCCTTAACATGTATTGGTTAACCTTACCTCACCAGCCAATTGGGTTTATGTCAAAATTGCAGTCTTTTGTTAACCATCGGATTTTACAACACTTTGTTGTCTATATAACACCGCTGTCATTTTGGCCGTTTACTAGAATTAAGAATAGCAAAAATGTTGTTTGTTTCATCAGCTACTGAAGAAAAACTGACCAAATAAGCACTTTCATAAGCAGTTTGAGGATGAGGTGCTTTTTCTGATAGAGAAAAAGCAGAGGAAAGAGAGAAAATGGGAGTTCAAAACAACAGTCCAAGACCTTCCCCAAGAAGAAAATCTACAACCCTTCAACACTTGTTTGATCTCGATGCCAAAAGCGCTTCTGACAGCAAAACTATTATTGGCAGTCAATCTTCTTCCAGTTTGGAAAATGAAGAAATCCTGTCAGCAATCTCCATCTGCAATTTCATCTTCACCTTCACCGATCCGAGCGAATGCCCTACGCAACAAGAACTTAAAAGGCAGAAGCTTTTGCAGCTTCTTTCGATTGTCAAATCCTCGAAAAAGCCTCTGCATGATCAAGTCATGACGTCTCTCATTTCCATGATATCGTTGAACCTTTTCCGGTCTCTCCCTCCTCCTTCCAATCCCACATATGCCATGGACTTTCCCGACGATGAAGACCCCATTTCCACCTTTTCCCCTGTGTGGTCACACCTGCAGTTAGTCTACGACATACTCATCCGCCTTGTGATTAACAATGATCCTAAGTTACTCAGAGGCTACATTGACAACCAGTTTGTTGTCAACCTCCTTGCCCTCTTCCAATCAGAAGACCCGAGAGAGCGCAACAGCTTGAAGAATGTGTACCATAGAATATATTCTCGATTCACATTCTACCGTTCGTCCATGAGGAAATCGATGAACGATGTGTTCTTGCACTATGTGTTTGAGACAGAGCGGCATTGTGGGATCAGAGAGTTGCTTGAGATATGGGGAAGCATAATCAATGGCTTCACCGTGCCGCTGAAGGAAGAGCACAAGCTGTTTTTGATGAGAGTGCTTATTCCTTTCCACAAGACCAAGGGGTTGCAGGGCTACCACAGGCAGCTGGCTTATTGTGTGTCGCAATTTGTGCAGAAGGAGCCCGTACTTGGCGGAATTGTGGTGAGAGGAATTCTGAGGTATTGGCCCATGACGAATTGCCAGAAGGAGGTTTTGCTGATTGGGGAGCTGGAGGAGCTGGTGGAGAATATTGACCCTGATCAGTATAGGAAGTTGGCCCTGCCTCTGTGCATACAGATAACAAGATGCTTGAACAGTTGGAACTCACAGGTACATGGTTTTTTCTTTTTCTTCTGGCTTAATGATTTTTCGGATAGCAAGTTTTGAAAATCCATCTTCTCTTCCTTTGCTTTCTTAGCAACCAAACAGAAAACAATTGCTAATTCTGAAAATTAGTACCCTGGTTTGTATTAGTTCGAAGGAAGGTTTAGTTTTCGCCCCGCCTATATGGTTACTTCCATTAGTTTATAAGGTATTCATAGAACTTCAAGTTGCCATAGCTATCATTGGAAATTTTTCATTCAGATATCAAGATTCTGTAATCGTATTTTCCTATGAATTTGTTACAAACAAACAGAAAATAATTTCTTAACAACTACGACACTCTTCTTTCCAATGCCTGAAAACTGAAACTAGTAAAGACTGCACGTGCTCGACAGCGGAAACTAGTTTCTTGAGTCCTTTTTAAGGATGAAACTGTGCTCCTGTAAAACCCTCTTGAAATCAAGCCTTTGTGGTTACCTTAAGTGATGAAGGCGGGCTGGCAAATGAGTCAAGATTACTCCGTCAAGGGCTCGATTCCCTCCACTGCACTGGAGGCAAAAAAAAAAAAAAAAAAACTCATGGAATCCTATTATACTTTGAAAACTCCCTATTGAAGTTTTACATAGCTTTAGCTGCTTTAGGGTCCTTCAATTATTTGTAAGTGTTATAATCTCCGAATCTTCAAAATACAATAGAAGATTTAACACTGCTTGGCTCCTTACAGTTAACGAGTCATTCCTCCTTATTTGCCAGTCACATAAACTAAGTGTATACCTTTTTAGTTTAAAAGTCATTCGCTATAATATTGTGTTGTACTTTTAGGTAGCAGAGAGAGCCCTCTATGTTTGGAACAATGAGCAGTTTGTGAAGATGATATCAGTGGCAATGGAGGAAGTGTTTCCAGTCGTGGTTGAAGGCATGGAGAAGAACTTGAAGTGGCATTGGAGCAAAAGCGTCCGGCAACTGACAGAAAACGTGAAGGTGATGCTCGAAGAAATGGATCCAGTTTGGTACTCCAAATGCCTGGAAGAAATTGAGCTAAGAGAATCCAAGGCCAACCAAGCAGAACTCAAGAGGAAGGAGAAATGGGACCGAATAGAAATGGCTGCAGCAGCCAAGCATCAGTTCCTCCAACCACAACATTTCATGTGTGTTTCTCACTAAAATTTAAATCAACAATGTATACAACAAGTAGTCTCTGCTGGGTTTTTTGGGTTTGGTTTCATAACCATTGTAGAAGGTTTCTAGTTGGTCCTTCTATTTATTATAAGAAAATACTCAACTCCTTATGTGTAACGAGTTATTCCTTCTTACAGATCAATTAGATTATGATATGTATGCTAAAACTTTACATTTTGTGGTTAACTAGGGCTTTTGAAGCAAAACACAATACAACTTTTTCCAACATAGCCAACCTAATCATTGTGTATTAGTACGCGGCCGCATCGTATAATTACTCCGCGTATTATAATTAGGATGAATTAGTAGTTAAACATAAGACTTATATTAACACGTAAATTTACTATACCACGTGCATATGTTCTAATACCGCACCATAGTCTCAACCACCAAGGGTTAGTTTGTTATTGCCAAATTGTGCGAGTAAAATACTTATAATGTCAGATCAAGGTGAAATGTTATGAACATGTGTGATCTGATTGACAGGTACGTATGTCACTTTACATTGCATGATTCCAAGGTGGTGAAGAATTGAAAATGAATGACAAAGACAGGTCAAGTTATATTAAGGGTTTTAACCTAATTCTTTGTTTGTTAATTAAGTGTTGCATATGGAAACTGCTCAGAGTGGCCAAGGATAAATTCTCTTGTTGTGAGGATTACGAGGAAGTTGGAACAAGGCAGGCAGGCAGGCCGGCAAACTTTGAAAAATTGAAAGTTCAAATTCATGAAGTCCTAAGGTTTGGTTTGGGTAGATAAATATCTTCTTTTTAATATATATTTTTATAAGGATTTATATATGTGTTTTACGGTTTCGAAGGAGATAAATTTATCAACGAACTTTCAATCAGGTGATGTATATGTTCTTTTGATAGAAGAGGTTTCAAGTTCGATTCTCTTATCCTAACTAAAGAATCCATAATTTTCACCTAATTCCGGGCATGTATATGGTCATGTTACACTTTGCTCAGGCTTTAAAACGTGCCTAAAAATAAAAACTAGCACTAGCAGGTTTACAGCATATGGCCAAGAACTTGAAGCATAGTTGCAACGTCACTGGCCTCGTAAAATTTTACTTGAATAAATAATTAAAATTTGTTATTTTGTTTCGTTTCATGTCGGATTAACGTAAAAATTTTACAGGCCCACTGCTGACTCTTCTCACGCAGTCCACGTCTTTTCTCCTCTCAGCCCCTCACAAACTCTTTCGTCGGCGGTTTCTGCTGCGACTTAGGAGCAGCTGCTCCTCACAGAACCCGACTACTGACCCCGTGTCCGCCTCTCATCGCCGCCGAAAGCAACCTCGACGCCGTTGCGGGCGGAGGAACGCCATCATACGAGCCACGGAACACGCTGCTGCTGGTAGTTTTACTTTTCTGATTTGTACGAATTTGTTTGTTTGTCTGATGAGAAAGTGGCGGCTGTTGTGCAGTCGATGGCAAGCTGTTCAGGTCACTATCCCTGGACTCTCCTTTCTCTTGGATATACATGGTGGGAAATTTTACTGAACGTACATTTTCCATTCTTTCTTCCGTAGTATAGGGTTGGTTCATCGTTCCAGTCATGCTAAACTACCGTTTGGAATGAGACAGTATAATGGGGCCAAAATCGATTACTGCAACTCCGTTTCAGTAACATCCAGAAGGGTGATTTTATCTTCTTTTTGGAATGTATGCTCTGTGTTCAATTATCTTGCGGATGCTCGCATATTGAGGATAGAGCTTTGTTATTGCAGATTGTTAGAGGAGGAAGAGGGGTTCAGTAGTTGCGTGCTCGTCGTGTTGGCACCGTATGCGCTGCATCCGTGGGAAGGGATCATCGTCGATTGAGAATTGATGACGATTCACCTCAGGAGCCCTACTTTTTAAGTCTTGTCCAAGAAGCAGTGTGGTAATTCCCCTCTCAGACTCGGATCATAGATTTGTCAGTAGCCCTCGATAACTAGGAGCACAAATTGGTGGTCTTGCATAAGAAGTAGTATTATCTTATGTGATAAACAAAACGTTGCAATTATCATTAATTGGCCGGGGTTGAGATCGTTATTCGTTTTTCTGATTGAGCAGCCTAGTCAGCTGAAGTATATCGAATGTCCAGGCTTCCATAGCACGGTATGCGCAAAACAAAACTACACTCGGAAGATGTAGAATTATGAATTCTACGTTGTGACTTTGCAATGTATTAAGTCAACCAGTGAACACTTGCTTGTCCATCTTTCATTGAGTTCAAAAGTGATTACAAATTTCTGGTATTTCAAATTTGAGGTAGTTTTATGATTTCATGCAGCTTAAGACTGCTACACTTGCCCTTGTTCTTGTGGCGCTACTCATCGTGGCACTTTGATCAACGGACTCTGCCCTCAGCTATTTGTTGGCTTTGATTCTCAGGCGAACCCCCTACTCAAATAATATTATCAGAAGTAGGACCAAGCATCAATACCAGAATTATGACCGAGCTCATCTGTTGGAGACGCTACATTACACATTCCATTGGACCATTGCCCCTTTGGTATGTTTTTATCGAATCAACACACCAAATGATGCGAGTGTACCTTGTTATTTTAGCAGTTGGAGATATTTATCAAACAAGATAGACCTTCACTTTTGTTCTATGTGTGCTTGCCGTCCAGTTGCAATGAAGAGTGGATCCGCATGGTCCCAAATGAATTGGTTTATTCGAAAAAAGTCTTGTTCTTTGGAAGATCTATCTCGTGTCTGGTACTGCACGGTTCCACCCTGCAATAACTCCGAATCATTCTCTTGAAGCCCATCCTAAAACCCCGAACAAGCAATTTCAACCGGCCGATGACCCATTTGGTTTAGTGGTTAATTTCTCTTTATTTTTTTATTTTTCTTCTATGGATCTACCATCCATCCTCGCAATTTATTTTCTTCTTTTTTGGTTTTGAATTGGAGCTTCCCTCCAGAGTTAGCTAGGTTTTTACTTGGGCGACAAGTATGGATGGATTTACATGTTCTCTACTTTCCAATGATTTACTTTCTGGGGTTAAAGTCACATATGGACAATGAACTATTCTTCCTCTTAAAAAGAAAGACCTTATGAATTCTCTATGAAAAAGAGCTTTTGGTAATCCATATTCATCTTAAAACTTTTTCTGGACTAAACATCGGCAACAACACTTTTGGTTAAAAGTGCTTTTAGTTTAGATATGGCATTTCCAAACAGGTCCTTCCTCACAATGCTTTCATGAGCATTTAATTCGTAAGTGGAATTTCTATTACAAATTAGAGTGCTTTTGACCCAGATGTTATCAAGTTGTGAAATACATCTGTATCATGATTCCACAAAGTGCTTTTATAACCCCTAAAGTTGCGAACATAGGTGTTTTTCACAAAAAGACCTTCAAACGAGTTCTAGCGTGCGCTTCACCAAAATTTGCATCACGGAGTCGATACATTTTTCCTTGTACCATTCAAATACCTTGATGCTATTATAACACGTAAATTTAGAGAATGAAATGGAAGAAGATTACATGAACATGATCAATGTCAAGAAGTAAACAACGCATGCTTTTTCTCCAAACAAAAAACACTCGCTCAATTCGCAAGATAAACCGTTACAGAAAATTTTAGCGTTCTCGCGACTAGAATATCACAGCTGCTTAACACAGCAAGAATTAAGTGTGTTCCATCCTCAGATATAAAGGTTTACAGCTTTTTGAAAAATATAAGAAACAACGCAAAACTTAAATGGAAAATTCTAATAGCTAAATGTGAAAACCCCGAAATCTGCGGGAATCACCGACACAATCCCTAACCACCAGAATCGTCGAATAATGCAAAACTCTAAATCTAACATGAAAATTCTATTAATCCATGACATGAACGATATACTTCTTGCCTCTCTTTTAAATACAAGACAAAAAGAACAAACACACCTTCAAAGCTTGGAAAGGTGCACCCCTGTACACCACACTCGTCCACAGCCTAAGCTGCTTCATTTATCAAGCCATGCGCTGTACGGACCAATTCCAAGCTAACTTCAAGCTTCATTTGCGTCAACAACAAAGCTTTCCCAAAAAATATGGGACCGAAAATTTGGACTTCGCCTGTAAAACTCATGACCACAATGCAATGGTGATGCACAATGTTTGGACGCAAATACAGAGGTCCGATAAGCACATGGAGGGGAGAACCCGCCGGTACAATACATCAGCTATGCGTACAATACTACACTTGGTATATTTTTGAAAGCTTTTCCTTCACTGGTGGCACCAAGGCAGACATACATTGGTCCCACGCTCCTCCATTCGTAAGCATCTGCCGGATTATTTATTTGAAACAAGTGAATCAAAATATGTTGGGCTTATTCTGCACCATGTATCTCAGAAAGAAAATTTCATCCCTATACGAAACTTGAATATTTTGGGCAAGGTTTCATATTGTTTTTGTTTATCTCTCCGAAAAATAAATAAATAAAAAAATTGAATTTCATAATCTAAAAAGCAACACTAACCTGCTTATAACCATGCAACACCTGGTGAACTTCATTATGAAGCTCTTCGCTCCGTATTTCCTATAGAACATAACAAATCACGACTTTGAGCTTGTACAAAAACACGAACACTTGACTTGTACATCTAAGATGGGAATAGTAAGATTCTTACATGCCAACTTGCAATAGCATTGCACAGATAAATGAGTGAATTCAATGCTCCGGATGGATTGGTTCTAACCTGAAAAGTTAACAAAATCCAAGCTTAAGTGTAAATAGAAATTCATGTGGTACATATATGGAAAAGAAAAATTAGAAATGCAGATGCTTACCAAAGCACAGAGACCTCGGAAGGCATCCTCCTTTTCTACATCATCACGTATCCTGTTACAAACACTTTTGCATGTCAGAAGCAGACCATTGCTATGACATAATAACTAAGCCCCTGCCAGACTTTTAAAGCAAAGTGGACAATATAGTTTCTCAAGCATTCATCTTCTCTCTTAACTTCAGTATGAGAAAGTATATTGTCCATTGCCCAATCGTCAAATTGGACAATATCCATTGCTTATAATAATCTATATTACGACTACTGATGCTTCTGCTGCAACTAGTCTGCTGTTATTAATATGCCATACGTAGATATATAGAACTTACATTGACAAAGCAATGCACCATCGTTGCATGAAATGCTCCATATGGGGAGCCACAAGCTCTGGACAGACCCACGCAAGCCTCCCAAGGGTGATAGCACTGTTTTCAATTAGTGACTTGTTCAGCTCCTGCTCAGCATCAATAGATTCAATTATAAGATGACACATCCTCCATGGTAGACTGGTAGTACATATTGCAATTATAATGGAAAAGGAGTCACCTCTGCGTGTTGAAGGATTTGAACTAAGCAAGAGATAACTGTCAGAACAATTGGAGAAATTTCTTGACGAACCTGAAATTCAAATTTACTTTCATGATAACATAATCAAGCAATTATAGTTAAACAATTAGGTAATGAACTAAGTAACAAGAAAGAAAGAAACATAAGAAGCCGACCGGATGACACGAACAGACACATGCATATGTGCGACTGCGTGTTGATAACAAAAGCTTCTTAGAACTTCAAAAATATGTGTGTACAAAATCAGCTTGCTTATATTTAGAAAAGAACAGAGAATTGATAAAATCCCCACCATCTAGCATTACACCTAGAAAAATAAGGGACTATCGTGTGTTAATACACACAGCACTACTTACGTAGAACCATCTCTGCTTGCCTAAAATAGATATATACACAAAGCTGAAGAAATTTGTGCCTATTTACCAAAGCATGGGAATATGATGGCAGAAGCCATGACCTCCCATAGATGAGATTATGCACTTACAATGATCATCTAAAAAGAGTGCAATCAACCACAAATTTCAAGTCATTCATTTGCAAAAAATCTCAGCTGAAGCTTTACGATCTAAATCTAATGTCTACCCAACATCATGGCATGACTTTACAACCAGACTTTAATTGGTATTAGGAATGCTGCAGCATAAATGGGAATGTTTACCTTAACTGCTAATTCTCCAATGGCCCAACATGCATTGTTTGCAACTGAAACAGTTTCTTGCAGCTTAGGAGTATTCTGTACCACAATATATCAATTAATCATAAGTCATGACTGCCATAAGCAATAGTAACAAGCATCGGATAATTTTTCCATACCAGTTGCTGGGCTGCGATATCAAGAAATTCTGGCAAACGAGGTTGCAAGTGAACTGGGCAAACCTACTCAAATCATGTAGACACGACGGTTAGGCATTAAAAAATACATTCAAAGATAAATAAACAGCTTTAGTATCTTCCACTACATTAGCCTTGCAGCCTTGTGCTATGTAGCAGTTTCCTCCTCGGGAATTTACTAGATCTACGTTCTCAAATTATGCACACGGATGGGGGAGGAACCCAACCTGAAGGCTTTATATCATTGGGTAGATATATTCTCACTTACTCTTGCAAGATCCCCAAGTAGTGCAAATCCACTCTGCCGGACATCCGAAGCATCATCCGTGCAACATTGCAAAAGCAGGTCCCTCAAATTGCTTTGTGAAACCTTGGAGCAGCACAAATAAGAAAACATGAAAAACCATTTCTATGTGCAAGCTATATGGTAGTTGAACAATGGAACAGGCTAAGGCATTAAAAGGGGCAGTAACATGGACAATAGAATAAGTGTGGATTCAATGTAATTTTCAAAGGAGAGGCTGCATTAGTTTTGAAACACTATAGAGAGGCCCATGCACAAACCCTGGAAACACATTAGGCCAATTCCCTTCTAGGAACCGAATATATAAATTCTGAAAAGAAGTAATTAAGGCAGAGAACCTTTATAATGACGTAAATACCCATTATCCCATATTTATTCTTGATAAATATACATGGAGAAAGAAGAATACCAAACTCTCTATCCCACTGCCAAGACCTTCTGCAAGTCCAGAGAGCAGATCAAGAGAGCAAACAATAAATTCTTTATCATACGGGACCCCAGAAGGTACAGGATTGATCTGCAAAAGAAGTTCAAAACATTTTCTCATACGAACTTGCAAGTTGAACCACCAATGTACATATTTTTCATAAATCAAGCATTTGTGTGGAAATATATTAAAGGCACCCAGAGGAGGGACTATATACACACTTAAACTAGTGAGACATTTACAAAGATCGAAGACATCTTTCTAAGGACCTTGTGTAGCAAGTGTTTTGAGTTAGTGTAATTTGATACTTGCTAGCGTTTGATAAAGGTTTTGCTTCGAACCTATCCTTCTCATTTTTAAAAGTTCATGTTTCCTACCACCATTTAAAGGAAAAAAAATGAAAACCCACTCATAATCATAATAGAGATACTCCAAATTCCAAAGGCGGATACAGAATGTAGTGAGACTTAAGAACATTTGGGGTTTGCACAGTTTCCAGATTGATTGATACTTCTCTGAATACTCAAATAACGTAATGAATCACAAGATAAATATTATGCCTTTTAGTGGTCACATATGCATGACAAGCTATTTAGGAGTCAACATATACAAATTTCTCCAATTTCAAGAGATACAAATTAAGCTACGACTTGAAAGCAAGAACGCTATTACTCCCACCTTTGAACACTGTAAGAGGCAGTCTAGATATATATATATATATATATATATTATAAAACAAATAATTTTGGTCTGTATAATGTAACCATACAATTTATGAGACATTCCTCCTAGCCATCTCTCTCAAACTAAGAAAGGAACCCATTAAGATGGATATTTGACACCACTAAGGTGGCCTAGAAGTCACTTTTAGAAAGCACACGGTAGAAGTCAATAGATATAACGTCAACCTAGTATAAGAAACAGAAGTTACCTACATAAGAACCAGATATTTAAATATAGTGAAAGGGTCCATACTTATCACAAATAATTCACGTATAACCAAAAAATCAGGAACGAACCTTTGCCTGAACCTTTGCAAGTTGTTGGGACTCAATGATGCTTATG